CAAGCTTCTCCGGTAGCCAGAAGGAGAGAGCTAGGCCAGCCTCAGCCCAGCCCAATCCCCTGGCGGCCGGAAGGAGGGAGCCAGACCAGCCTAGGTCTGGAGCCCACTCTACCCCCCCAGCGGCTGGAGCAGGGAGAGCCAGGGCTGCCACACCTCAGCGTGGCCTTCCCAGTGGCCAGGGGAAGAGCCAGGGCTCTCTACCCTGGGAGAAGGAGGTTGGCTAGTGCAGCGAGCAGGAGGCACCACCCTGTAGTAGTTTCTGGATCTGATGAATCCTCCTCTCGGTCCTTTTATTGAAGGTTCATGTTCTCTTCAGCAAGCATTCCCGTTTCATTCTGTTTTGGCAAGTAATAGTAACTGTTTTGTGAAGTAGGGTTTTATTTTCCAAAATGGTCAAATATGTAAAGCAGAAAACATATCATAGTTACGTATTCTCATATCTGCAACTTTTTAACGTTGCTTGATCTTTACTAGCCTGAATTCTCTTAAAATCAAGACAGTCTATCATATAGTCTAGGTGCATTCTTGAACATATTCTCCTTAAGGGTACGATTGGTTAACAATAGCATTATTGGGAAAATGCCTCTCCCCTTATTTAATTGAACTGGGGGTCACTGAAGTCTTTTTTTGACAGAAGTTTTTAGACAAAAATTTGAGTTATTTTCATATTTAGCTTTGAAGCTTTTGGAATTTCAAATGAACTAGCTATTTTCTGCCTGATCCGGTAACTCTATTTCAGGAGACATTCATAGTAAATATGTTAAGAGGTCTATCAAACTTCATTTAGACCCAAATTTGTTTTTCAAGTCTATTTTTATGAGCAACACATTTCTCCTACATTTATTGCCAGCAAATCTATCGCCTTGAAAAGCACATTTTAATCTGAGTTCTTTCTGCTGCTGTGGGGGAAACACCTCAGTTTTACAGCTCCCCACTTACATTTGCTTTATGTAATTTTCATGTAGGATGGAAGAAGTGACAAAATCAATACCCTATACCCTGATTAGCCAAATTACATAAGGCACATAGCTTTGATTCTGATAATTGGGAACTCAGCTAATAGGGGAGGAGCCAGCTTCTTGCACTCCTGGCTGAGGATTTCTGCTCTTACCAGCTCGCTCCACTGATGGCAAGGCTGTAAAGGGTTTCCTGTGTTGCAATAGCCAGTGACACAATCTTTGCAGGCGCAGGGCAGAGCAGAAATCCCAGAGCAGGACTTTGCTCTGCCCTGCCCTGCTTAGAGTGCTACCTTCCTTGTGCCTGTAGGGATCAGGTGACATTTGCCCTGTTTACAGTAGGGAGTCCTGAAGCTCTGCTGTCCCAATCCTTCTCACACCCACTTGCTCAGTCCCATAACAGCAGGCCTGAAAAGAGCTCCCTCTGCTGCTGTTGCAGCACCACCATTCAGTGGCGGGGTAGCTTTCTCATAGCTTTTGCAGCCCTTACTGGGGGTCTCTGTTAACCCAAGCTCCGCATTATCTAAATCTCTTCCTTCTCCCCCTACATTAGATACAGGGGGATGAATGAAAGGATTTGAATAATATGAAGGTTTGGTTAATACTGTTTCAGGTAAATGGGACTATACTGCATGTTTTTCCTTCTGTTGAAGATATTCTTTTCTCCCCTCTTTATGTATATTTCAATATCCCAAATGACTGTTAAATACTTAGTCTACTGTTTCGGTGGCTAAAAAAGGAAGAACGGTGCGGCAAGTAATGTATTAGTTTAGGATTTAGGAGACCCGAGGTTTAAATCCCCGCCTTGTCACCGACTTTGTGTGACTTTAGGTGAGTTACTTAGCCTGTTTGCTCAAACTCTGTACAATGGAGATAATAGTACTACCTCGACTCGCAGATATGTTATAAGGATAATGCATTAAAGTTTGTGAGGTGATCAGAAAAGTAACGGCGCCTAAGTACCTGAAATAGAAAACAGATGGAGTTCTGCTGGGTACCTCCTGTAATTGACTGACTGACTGTTCTGCTGCCTGGTAGGTGGAGCTATAACACGTGCTGTATGGAATCTTGTTCTGTAGCATGGGAGAAGAGGAAGGATTACATCAAACGCAGTTACTGGTATGTAACTTCTTAAGTAAAACTTTTAAACCAGTTGTGTTGTGCAGTCTCAAACGGGGCAAAAAGTTTCCATATTCCTTTATGAGGACATTACAGTTAAAGTAAAAAACAACATCATAAACCAGGAAATGCTGAATCAAGGTGATATTAATCACATAAGCTTGGGGTGACTAGCTCTGATGGACGCTGCTTTCTAGAATTGTCCAGAATCCCATTAACAGGGATACTTCAAGAGTGTAGGTCCATATGGACATTGGTTTGAGAATCACAATTACCAGGGCAAGTACAGTAAACTTCTGATAATCTGGCACCTTTAGGACCCAGGGGGTGCCGGATTATCAGATTGCCGGACTATCGGAAGGGAGGGCAATGAGGAGTCTGGGGTGGGGTAGGGGGATGCCACCCCAGCCCCCTCATAGCCCCCCCTTTCTATAGTCCGGCTCTGCCCCAGGTGTCCCCGATTCAGCTGCTGCTGGTCAGTTTCAGCAACGGCTGAATCCTGGACGCCTCGGACAGAGCAGCTGAGGTGCTGCCGGGTTGGTCCCGCAGCTCCGAGGGGCGGCGCTACAGGACCAACTCGGCAGCACCCTAGCTGCTCTGTCCCAGGCATCCCCAAGAGCAGCTGGGGGGCGCCCGGCAGCTGGGGTGCTGCCGGGTTGGTCCCGCAGCGCCACTCCTCGGTGCTACTGGACCAACCCGGCAGCACCCCAGCTTCTCTGCCCCAGGTATCCCCAAGTCAGCTGCTGCTGATACTAATCAGCGGCTGATTCCGGGAAGCCGCGGGCAGAGCAGCTCCAATGGTCTGGCTGCCCGGAGCACTTCCGGGTTCCTGATGGTGCCGGACCATCTGCGTTTTACTGTATCTTGATTCCTTATGGAATCTTAAAGAGGGATGAACTCTTAGGTGACACAATACAAAGTTCACTGAAAAAGTATAAGGGAATTTAGAAGCCCTTAATAAAACTAGGGGACAGAATGGCAGGTTCAAGTCAGTGTAGACAAATATAGTCTAACATGTTGGAAGGAACAATTTACCTTGTCGTGTGTTGGATTTTGCGCTACTTACTCCGGGGGGGGAATGAAGGTGAACTAATATAAAAACATCTGACTAATCCAACATTTATTGTGCAAAATATAAAATGAGAGATAAAGGTGTATTAAGGGAAGCAGAGAATAAAACTGAAAATGTTATGGAGTGAGGGAAGATTCATTTAGAATTTTTCATTTTGAATTATTTAGGTTTTAGTTAGCCCCTCCCTTCAAAAAAAAAAAAAAAAAAGAAAGAAAAGTGTCAGACTTAAACTATACTCGGTAAGACCAATGGCTCATATAGCTCAGTATCTTGTTGGATAGTGCCAGATGTTTCAGAGGCTATGGAAAGAACAGGTTAATTTTGAGTGATCAGTCCCCATCATCAATTCCTAGTTTCTGTTAGGTTTAGGGACACCCAGAGCCTGGAGTTGCTTCCCAGTGATCTTGATGGGCCTATTTTCCATGAATCTGTTTAATTTTTTTTTTTTTTTAAGTCTAGGCATACTAAGACTTCTGTCTGAGGAGAATTTAAGAAAGGAAACTATAAAGGAATTAGGGGGCATCTAAGAAAAAAATTAAATTGGCCTTGAATTTCAATAAACATCCAACAGATTACTTTGTGGCATATAGAGCCCTAAGATACAGTCAATATTAGTTAAATTCAGAAAACACTTGGGCTACATTTACACTGAGTTTTCTCAGCAAAACATATGCTAATGAGGGACTCATTTGCATGAGTCATGATCTCATTTGCATATTTTCTGCCAATATTTGTTAGGGTATACCGATTTTGCAGGAAAGGGGGGTTTTGCGCAAAGAAAACGTCCACACTGCTTGGTTTTGCACAAAAACAGGCAGAAAATATGCAAACGAGATAGTGACTCCTGATAATGAGTCCCTCATTAGCATATTTTGCCGAGAAAACTTCTACTGTAGATGTAGAATTGTATGCTTACCAGTAGGATGTCAACACGTAGTCAAGTACACATTTAACCAATAAGCATAGGCTGATTAGTTAATTTTATTGACCACACGCATCATCTGGCAGGGGAAGCTACCATGGAACAGCCTTTGTCCCTGGCAGGCCCACTCTCACTGTGGGCAGAGGCTGCTGCCAGCCAACACAAGGCAACAGCACAGGGTGGCAGGGGGCTTCCCAAGAGTAGAGCCAGGAGTGCACTGGCTGTCATTCCCGCCCCCAGGGACTATTGAATAGTCATGTAACCAATAGTATTTTGTGTGGTTACATGAATATTTAGTTAATTGCTATCTAACATCCCTACTTACCAGACCAGTAGCTAGCTAATGCTCACCTTTCTGAACATAAAGCAATTATTGACTTACTAGTCATAGTTTGAAAGACTTTCCTGTATAGGTATGTTGCTGTAAAATTGTCCATTGTGTTTTACTATCCATACTGCTAAAGCAAGCCTAGTATGATCATTCTTGTGTTTAATGAAATATTCTAAAGTTTTTACTGTAGTTTTATTTCTGCAGTGTCTAACTTATTAGGGCACTGGATTGTGCTACAGAACTTTTTTTTTTCCTTCACAGGACACAATGTTTGTGCGAGGATTGAAGAGAAAATGTTTTGATGGCGAAGAAGATATTGAGGGAACTCTGGCTGGTTTTAAAGCTATCCCTTCATATAACCTTCAGCGGCAGTCACTTTTAGATATGTCTTTGGTGAAACTTCAACTATGCCACATGCTTGTTGAGCCTAATCTTTGTCGTTCGGTACTTATAGCCAATACGGTACGGCAAATTCAAGAGGAAATGACCCAGGATGGGACTTGGCAGATGATAAATACACAAAGTGCAGGACAGACTTCTCTAGATCGTCTGGTTTCAACAGATATCCTTTGCCGTTCATCCAAGGAACAAGCTGAAGGAAAGCTTGTTCCAGTCTATAGTACGTTCACTAAAGACTATGAGGAGCCTCATTCACAAGATCATTCAGAAATTATGCCAACAGTTACTTCAGCACAAGCTCCAAGAAACCTGCCAAATAATATGTGGGAAATGGAGAATCCACAAGAAAATAGAGGAAACTTTCAAAAGTCATTAGATCAAATATTTGAGACATTAGAGAATAAAAATCCTAATACGGTTGAAGATCTCTTTTCAGAAGTTGACAATTCTTATTATGACCTTGATACAGTGTTAACAGGAATGATGAGCAACACAAAAATGGGACACTGTGATGTACTTGAAACATTTCCTTCTCAGACATCCACAAATTCTAATTCTAACTGTAAATCTGATCTTAATGAGCTTGAGCATATTGTGGAGATCCTTGTTGAATCTTGAAACTGTTAAGTATACAGAAGACAGATCCTTAAGGAAACAGAACTTGTGGAAACAATTTTTCAGATAGAATAAACTATCACAACTGCACGTGTGTTTTATATAAAATTTATATGTATAAAGCACTTCATATTGCAAAATGTTAACTTTTGAAGTTAGCATGCAATTTGTAGTGTCATTCTGGTTTGTCTATTGAACTGTAAATACATGCTCTAAATGGTTTTAAGTTAGAGCCCGAGGCTTTCAGAATTGGGCTTTTTTGCCTAACTTTTCTAGCCTTTGAAGGGGATGTATGTTTGGTGAGAGGATTGCATGTGCTTTTTTTTTTTTTTCCCCCCCCCCCCCCCCCCCCCTTTTTCTTTCTTTCTTTCTCCCTCCCCAGTAAGAGGCAACAGAGAGAGCCTGGGTTCTCCTTTACCTCCGGATTCTGGACCAACAATTAATTCCTACCATCATTTAATTTCTTCCCTGTTCACTTCCTCTGTTCTGCCAGTAGTTTTCACAGGGCTCTTGAAGAGCAATATGCAATAGTTCTCATTATCCTACTAGATTTTGTCTGTTTTTGCTAATATTTTCTGTTTAAATATAGTTTTAAAGTGTTTATCAGTGTTTAGATTTTTCCAACTATTTTCCTAAAATATATTTTTACTACAAATGTCCTGTCAGCTGCTAATTTAGTAACTTTTAATCATAAATATTTGCAGTTGATGTATTTTTGAAAGACTTTCAAGAAGGGATTTGTTTTATACCATGAACTACCTTATGTAGTTCAGTAAAATGTGTGTAAATGTAAATATACAGTTTTATACATTACATTAAAATGTAAGTGCTGTTTTTATGATTCTGTTTTTATAGAGTAGTACTTTACTAAACTAAGAATTGTAAAAAGCATAACTGTACACCACTTGAGTATCATTAGAGGGAAAAGCTCTGATGAAGCTGCACATACAGCTAAATGCAATTACATTAATTCAGTTCAAATCACATTTTTGTTAATTTCAGACATAAATTATATAGGTTTTTATTTATGTGTATTTATATGTAAATGTCATCAAGTGAATTGTTTTATCACTGGGATCTACCTTCAAATAACTGTTGATATGAGAACTGTCTTGTGCTAATTACTACAAAAAGTGTTACTAGAGGCCTTCACATCTCCGATAGCGTCCTCCACTGTCTTGTCTAAATTAGTATGTCCCACTGTCTTTTGTCAATTTATTTTTGATCAACAAATATAGTGTGGGTTAGTATTTGCTTTCTTTAAGGACTTACACATTCGTTTTAGAGTGTGTGTAATTAATCTTGTCCCTAAACACTTTTGGGGATGGGGTGGATCAAATATGGTATACAATTTTACTATAAAATGAGCAAATTTTACCTTGGTACACTGGTGCTAGAAAGAGAATCCTACATGATAGGAAAGGGAGAGAGAAAAGAGACTTCATTCCTGGAACCTTTTGGTATTGGCTGTGTGGGGAGAAGCGATTGCAGATAGTTAAGTTTTTCTTGGTGTATCAAGAGACTGAGTACCGTGGGATGGGGGGAAACAAACATCTTGGCATTTAGCATACCTTTTTGTCTTCCCACAGATGATCTAACCTGTTTGTCGTGTGATTCTCAAATCTCTAGTTAGAGATTGAGTATATTCCAATTCCTCACTTCCATGAAACTTACTTTCAAATATAAATACTCCTGTTTCTAGTATGTCTAGCTGATGCCTGTGTTCAATTTAGAATTTTAATAATTTAAGTGCTTTTGAAATAGCTGGTTGAAAAACCAACATTGTATGGCTAAGATTTGCCACCACAGTAGATGGATGCATATTTTAACTCAAATTTGTGTCATATCATCCCATTTGTATGTGAGCTTTCAGTAAACTTGAAACTTTTTTAATTAAATTTGAATATGAGATTATCTTTATTTGCTTAGTAGTAAAACATTGCTTCATAATTCCAAACTGACAGTGACTTTGTATCAAAAAACTAGCTAGATGAAGGACCACATGGAAACTTGCAAATTAAATTGGTACAATTTAGCTGGATTGAAAAGTTACTTTAGAGAGCTTGAATATTTAAAAATTTGTAGATTAGAAAATATTTGCATCATTACAAATTAGATGACACAACAGGTAATCCTTATTAAACTGGATACAAATGCTGTAACCTTTCTCTTTTTTTACTATGGTGAAATCATTGAAAATAAAATCTAGGTTTTAAGTTGCAATTGGTATGTACCACAACATGGTTAGTGATGACTCCTTCCTAAATCTAATGATGTCCAGATGGATACTTGCATACGATGTCTGCTTTCTGGAGGAATTCAAAGGGTAAGTGGATTAGTTTTAGGAATGAAAACAAATGAGGCATCTCCCCATACATTCAAAAGGCAAACAGAGGGGCTTCAGCAGAGCAGGGTACCTACTACCTACCTCTTTTTAACTTTGTACATCGCCCCTTAGATTGCTTTGATATTTAAACATCCTTGATTGATTTTTATTTTTCTGTCTTCAGGTGGAAGTTGCTGATGTCTTTGCTTAAAGGGCTAGCTTTTTCAAGAATGCTTGTTATTCTTACAACTTAAGTTACAGATGCAGGGAAGATGCAAAAGCATTCTGTACAAATAGAACAGTTTTATGTATAGGACTTGTCAAATATGTAAGTGCACAGATTATATTAAATATAGCATAGCTGTACTAAGCATCTTGACAAGCATGTTCTGTTAACTGAATATTTTCTATTATGCAATTGCACATAGTTTAATGTACAGAGTCTTTCTTGCTAAGACAAGTGTTACATGTTTTGGCTAATCTATGCATTTATAGAGATGATCTTTTAAAAGATACATGTATCTTATTTCATTTTGACTTCATTAAAATTTACTTTAAAATGTTGGGTTTTAACATGTAATATTGCATGTCTGTTACCTTTAAAAGTTTGGGCCTTGGCTTAGGGTATTTAAGCATTGCTGCACTTTGGATTTAGGCTCCTAAATCCCTAACTCTTTTTTGAAAATGAGACTTAAACTCCAAAATAAGATGGGCATTGCAATGCTGAGCACAGTAATGCCTAAATAGCTTTAAAGAGCTGGTTCTGAGTACTTAGCAGAAACTTGAAAATAATATATGTTTATGAAGAGATTTGGTGAACTGTTACCATTGCACCTGGAAGGGCCATTTCTAGATTTCCCCAGAAATTTCCATTCAAGTCAGTGTAAACACAAGGTTGTTTTTGTTACTGGTATTCTGTCTATCTTAGACTAGTCTAGTTTGTCCATGTCTCCATAATTTTTCATCTTTTTTGTTAATGTAAATCTGTTAATTGTTTGTTCTCTAGTCCAGTTAGTCATTTTTTGAGGCTAGTTCCAAGATAATTGGTCTTGTAGAGCATTTGCAAGCGATGTGTGTTAGATACATGGACAGTATTTTCATCCTTTGTACAGATGATAAACTCCCTCAGATTTTTTTTTACTACAACTTAATCACCATTCACCTCTCCATTAAATTCTCAGAAACCTTGCCCCTACAAGCATGAAATTCCTGGATGCTGTAATTGGCTTCAGCAATGGAACTCTGTACATGTAAGAAACCCACCTATCAGCACTGCTATTTTCATAGACCCAGGAACCTTCCCAAATGCACCAAGAAGTGTTACCTACAGACAGGCTGGTATCCCTACACACCTCACAGATAGTGAACTGGAGTGAAGGTGGCATTAGCCTGGGAGCTCTGCAGAGCAAGACTGCTGTATTCCTGCCAATCTTCACTAGAATTATAACCAATAAAAACTTTGTAGATGTGTTGAATCCCTCAATGCATCAAGAACCAACACATAATGGGTACATAGAAGGTGATGAATTTGATAACTCACGATTCAAGTTAGATGAAAAAGATGAGGACTCAGATTCACTAGCTGAATCTACCACTGCACCAAACCTGAAATGGAAGGTACCAGTGAACATCACTTTTTCTCTTGTTCAGGATAATCAAACTTCCAAATGATAATCCAGCATGTTCCTTCTGTGATGAACATGTTGGTAAGCTGAGTGCTTTAAGCCTCCACCCTCAGCGATATCATGGTGGAAAATACGTGGAATTCCAATGCTCCCGTTGTCAGCTAACAGAGCCAAAAGTGCATAGCATCTTATGCCACATTCCCAAATGCAAAGGGGAAGTATCACAAGAACCAACAAGTCACTGGTTTTGTAACACATGCCCAATGAGATTTGAAACAAAAATTGGCCTCACTCAACATAAAAGAATTCTGCATCCAGAGGTTCATAATGCAGAATGCCTCACAGCCAGCTGAAGCCCAACTCACAATGTGGTAAGCATAAAAGCTGCTGGATAACAGAGGAAGAAGGTCTACTCAGAGGAAATTCAGGTGAAAAGAATATGAACAAATTAATTGCTGAACAAATGAAAACAAACTGCTGAACAGGTAAGTAATAACAGAAGACATCTGAGTCTTCAAGGAAAAAGCCATAAGGAAAGATCTGACACCATATGTGAGTACCTGAAGAGAGAGACTGATACAATACCCATCATTATTGGCCTTAAGAATACCTATATGTGAAAGGTGTCAGAGTCTACTGGGCAGAGTCGATACCTTGGAATCTTTGGGAAAAGCAGAATTTGACTTGTGAATCATGAGAGCTTGGGTTGCAGGAAACCCCAATATGAGATCAATTGTTGAAGATTCAGCAATTGGCATTTTGACTTCCTTTCTAACTAGAGACCCTGAACCACAAAATAGAAGGAATATAAGAGCATAGGTTACCAAAAACAGAAAAGGAAAATCTTGGATGAAGAAAGGGGCAGCGCATACAGGCACTTAGAAAAGATACCTGCATCTTTTTAATACTGAGATGCAAACTCGCCTCCATAATCCTTGATGGCAGAGTGCCTGCAGTGCCAAGTCCCTCCGGCTGAAGTCCATCAAGCATATAAAGACAAATGGGAAATAGAAACACTTTTTGAAGGCCCCGGACAATTCAAATCTTTCACCAATGCCAATAACACATTTACCACTGTAAATCAAGTAAGACACAGGTAATCAAGAATATCCAAGGAATGAATAAGAACTCTGTGCCTGGTCCTGATGAGATCAGTCTAAGACACCTGTGCTTGGTAGACCCAGATGGCCTTAAACTAGTGGAACTTTACACCTGCTGATTACAGGCATAATTCCTGATGGTATCAAAGCATGTCAACCAATGCTGATCCCTAAAACAATGGACACAGAAGCCCTAAAAGATCTGGGAAACTGGATCAATTGTGCTGAGGCTTTTCTCAAGAATAATTACCAGCAGATTGGCCAAAGTGTGTTCCTTAAATACACACTAAAGAGGATTTATAGCAGCACCAACGTGTTCTGAAAACCTGAAGGTACTCCAAACCATAGTGAAACAAGCCAAACAGGAAAAAAAGACCACTGGGAGTTGTATTTATTGATATCTTGAAAGCATTCGATTCAGTATCCAATGACCACATTACGTGGTTATTACAAGAAAGGGGCCTGGACCATAATATTATTGAACTCAAAAGGGACTCCTAGGCTATGTTTACGCTATGTGTTTTGTTGGAAGAGGCAACACAAATGAAACGTGAGCTAATCAGCGCTTCATTTGCATTGCCTCTTCCGACAAAACCTGTACAGCTGGTCCCCGAGTTGCGAACGGTCAACTTACAACTGTTCGCAGTTACGACCAAAAGTGTCGTAAATGGCGGACCCTGAGTTACGAACGTGATCCGCGCTTACGAACAACGAGGTTGCGTGTAACTCAATGGGGTCCGACTTACGAACAAACAGTTATGACCAATTGCTTGGTCTGTAACCGTTTCGTAAGTCGGAGACAGGCTGTAGTAATATCTAGATACGTATGGAGGTTGGGCAAGAACTCACTCCAGGCATCAATATAAAAGTTGGTGTCAAACAAGGAGACCCTATGTTTCCACTGCTATTAAGTTTAGCACTTGCTTCTCTAATCTCAACATTAGAGAAAGCTGTCCTGGGATTCACTTCTGGATCAAAGCAGATAACTCTAGCTTTTGGGGTTGACTTAGTAATGCTGAGTGATACATAAGGCACAAAGGCCAGCATTGATGTAGTGAAAGCCTTTTGCCAGCTTTTGGGGCTTATAGTACAAGCTAAAAAATGCCATGGATTTTTATCTATACCCAACCCATGACTCTTACACTGTCAAAAATTGTGAGGCTTGGGAAATCAATCAAGAAGGTTTGAATATGATCATTTCAGGTGAGGCAGAGAAATAGCTGAATCTTAAGGCAGACCCATGTATCCGGTTCTCAAAATCGGCACTGTATGAAAAGCTAGACACTTGGCTAAAAAGAATCAGCAAGCCTCCTCTCAAAGCTTCACAAACTTGTACTGTTTAACACTTTCACAGTGCCTAGGATCATCTACTTGCAGATTGCAGAAAGTGTCCTTTCTTCCCTTGATGATCACATCAGAAGTGCTGTCAAACAATGGCTCCATTTACCAAACAACACTCAACAGCTTCATCTATGCCAGATCCAGAAATGGTGACTTGGGAGTAGCAAGGCTTATCAGCCTCAGTCCATCAGTCCAAACAAGGTGGTTGCACAACTGCACACTGTGAAGATAAAAGCAATAAAACACATTACATTAGCTAACAATATAGAAAAAGAGTTTGAAAATCTTTGGGTGGCTGCTGGGGGAGAAATTGATGAGATCCCCAGAATAACAGACCTAATCTTCATTGATTACAAGTTACCCCAGCATGTTCTGGAACTCTTGACTGAATGGGAAAAACCAGCACCAAAAACATGTTATGCAACACTATGCAACTGGAAAACTACGAATTCTCCCAGTGGAAAAACCTTCAATACCAACTGAATGCTTTCAGAACAACTCAATCC